TTTAGTTGCTAAGTCCATCCGCACAGGGGTTTCAGACTTGCTAAGCTCAAAACAATAGAAGGCTAGTTATTGCCTATCTATCCACATAGGAGTTCAAGTCTTTTCAAGCTCAAGACAACAGATTTGTTATTGCTAGGTCAGTTTACAGTGTCTATCTGCATAGTGGTTTAAAATTTCAACCCATAGTTAGCTTACATTCCAAAATGTCTTTTGCAAGATACCTAATCAAGATTTTTAAGCAGCAGTTGAAAATTAGGTGTCTATATTTGCCTTGTTGTGAAAATTAAGGCTTGCCAATGACACATTTCTGTGCTGTCACAAGCATTTCTGTAAAAAAAAAAGAAACATCCAAAATGACCAACAGGGTGTCCAAAGACCTAATGTTCTTGGACTAGGGTTACCAGGAAAGCCTTGTGGTTGGTATTAACCACTTACTGCCGGATGGAATTTGAAGTTGCATGACGTAAAACTGGGGGATTTGCAAGATTTTCCATTTTCAAAATTCTTCAAAAAATCATTGCTTCATTTACTGGACGTTTACATCCACATAAATAACTGTCTGGTGACTACTCTAATCTGGCAGACAACATCTATCAACGTCCAAGTATTTCAGCCAGGCCTGCCGCTCAGATTTTGCAGTGTTATGTAACTTTCTTTTGTACCCGAAACTCACACAGTGCGCTACTGGCATCTTTTCAATAAGGGCCAGATTAGCCCTTACATTACAGCGGTAATGTATCGCTCATTGCTGGAGCGCTGGAGTGCCTTTGTCCCCGGAGGTAATCTGCACATGCTTCTCTCAAATAATGACGGATTTCCTCTGCTATTGACAACTGAAAAAGTGTTAGCAATTCCCAGCAGCTCGGTCTTTTGTTCCGAGTACGGGCTTTTGTTACAAGGCCCAGCTATTTTGTCCAGTTCCCGGCTCCCCAGTTTCGTGTATAAACCCTTGTGCCCGAAACCTGGCTCCCTGGCAGCATGTGGTTAATGCATGTGTCTATGGGAAGTGGCTGTGGCTACTAGCCCTCATTAACTTCTATTTGATACATTGACATTAACAGTCATAGCCATTTCTTTCAGCCACAGCCTCAAGTGCAGATGAAGCAGGTCCAGTCATAAGTCCAAAGTCAAATGTGCCAATCTCAATTCTTGTTCACACTGGGGTACCGGTCCAATCCCAAGCTTTTTTTTTCTTAGTTTTGGACTTTTTGATTCATGTAAACTTTATGTGTATTTTCTGGCTATTTTTTCCTGAGATTTAGGCAAGGGATTGACCTAGCACGGTAGAGTTGCGTCAACACAGCTTGTGAAAATGTTACCTTATCACATGATATACAAATTACAAAACTCCAAAGGGGCAGGGTTAACTCACAAACGGCCATAGGTCAATTGACTACAACCTGTCACACAATGGACCATGATTTTGAATCGACAGAAGGTGGCAGGGGACCCAGCAGTGGTGAGAAGATGGAGGTTGATGAGGAACAGGATGAGGAGGAAGCCTCCAACAGACTCATCAAACAGGTACTCAGCTTGTAGTTCCTGGCTGTTAAGTATTCAGCAGTTAGTTGGGCCCAGTCATGATTACACAGACTTGTTTGGTTTCCATGTTCAGGGGGTGCTGTTGGGTGATACGTGTCAGTGGATTGCATGTAAATGTCTTGCAGTGAGGGTTAACCGCTGGGCTCTGTTTATTGTATTTTTTTTCACGGAAAGCTCCTTGAACAGGATAAGTTGGAAGCAACGACGGGGGCACTTGGCTATGCGTCACAGGACAGCCAGCCTCAGTCAACAGCGACATCTACGCAGAAGGTACTAGACTCTCTGCAGTAATTTACATGGCTTTACATCTTTGTGGTTATTCATAAGAGACTCTTACATGCACAGAAGAGTAAAATCTACATGATGTGCAGTGCACTTGCTTTCATTAGAATGGGCACAAAAATGTCATTCCTGATGAAGCACAGAACAACTTGTGAATGTTTCTGAAGATGGAGGCCCTTTAATGGTATAAGTGTAAATTTCCCTTGTGCTTGTGCCTATTTTTCTGCTGCAAAAACAGCGTTTGTAGATGATGATTTCATGTTTATTGCTTTTGCAGAGTCACTATTATCTTATTCATATTATTTTGAAATGTAAAATACTTAAAGCTGTGAAAGATGAAAATACCAATTTGGAATCTGTTAATTTCAATAATCTCATAAAATAAACAGTCTTGGGTTTTAATATCTTTTGGGTTCATCAGTTTTTCCATCCCCTTTTCAAATTTCAGTCTTTCCATGGTGGAAGTGCTCCAGACCCAGATGAGTTGCCATGGTGCTGCATCTGTAACGAAGACGCCACCCTGAGATGCCACGGATGTGATGATGACCTCTACTGCAAAAGATGCTTCAGGTAAAGTTCCTTAATAATTCTCGAGGTTTTCTTGATGCTTGAGTGGTACCTGACAAAGAGTTGTTTTCAAATCGATACCAAGTCGATTTCACAAGCCCTGTCCAAGCAAACTGGGGAGAGGCACTGACTGTCCACTCCAAGTTGGGAACAAGAGAGGGTTTTACAAATCAACGATGTTCCTTTGGTGGGAATTCGCCTTGTTTACACACGGGCTCATGTGCATTTGGTACAGTATACGCTGAGGACGTGCGACTCATTTACTTGGATGCACTTTTCTTGTGTGTGCGCGCCCAGAGTTGTAACAAGTCACTAATTTCTGTAACTCGCGTCCAGTCAAGTCACTGTAACGTAGTGACTTAAGTCAAGTCGAGGCATTAGGCAAGAGTTGAGTCATGTATTTAGCTTGTTAATTTGAGTCACCAATACTCCAACATAGTGCGATAAACAAAAAATGAGAGGAAGTCATTTTTGGTATTTTAAAATTTATCTGTGGGTTTCTACCTATGGTCGCCCCACAATAACACATGGCATGAACATTATAAATTGGCTCTGTCAGTGCAAATATTTTTTCACACAGAAATTTGTCTTTTTGGACTGGAGTCTTATTAACTTGTAATTAACAAAGAATTTGATTGCTTTACATGTGTAGATCGCACAAACTTAAGGCATTGAAATTCATCCTGTGTTCTCTCAATACTTTTTCATGCTGTGCATTTCTGCAGGGAGGGCCATGATGGATTTGATTTGAAAGACCACCAAACGTCGAGCTACCGGCCACCCAGGCCTGGCAAAAGATGACTGATGTAACGGTTACTATGATGCCTACCGACATAAGAAATGTTTTAGCAGCTTATGATCAATGCATAATTCCGCCTTGCATAGTAGTTAATATAGAGTGAGCTATAATATAGTGTATGTAAATGTTGGCCTACATGTGTATGATAATCATAGCCAAACAACGTATGGAAGAAGAATAGTTTGCCTGGGACAGGGTGGGAATGGGGGTAGGGGAAATGCTCTGTTCTGAATTTATGTGGGATGGATTTTAAGGGATGGTATAGATGGGCAGTTCCACAAAAAAGTGAAAAAAAGTGTCAGTAAATCTTTGGAAAAGTGTGATTCTGATACTGAGCTCCTTATTTTTCACAATTCATACATGAAACAATTTTAAAAAATGGAAGTGGTAATTTCAGGTGGTTAAACATTACGTTTTTACTTTCGCTTTTTGAAAGCCTCTTTTAACCCTAACCCCCTTGGGTGTATGTAAAATTCATATTGAAATTGGAAGATGTGGGACTGTTAGGGTTTATTTTGAATTATAATGATCTAGTGACAGTGATCGTGGTAACAGAATAACACATTTCCACTTTTCTGGTGGAATTACCGAGTTGTAATCAAATTGGTCACAAGTCAGATCACAGTTTACATTGGATAAGTTGTGAAAGCATGCCAGTGTTTATTTGGACAGATCTCTTGGTTTGATGAAATGTGGTTGAATACTTGACTTCTGATGACTTGTCTGTGGGCATACCTAGTATGATCAGTGTGGAACCCATCAAGGACCGACTGTATTTGTAGTAGTAATGTTACGTTCTCATGTCCTAAGCAGTCAGGGCACCGCTAAGTAATGAATAAAGGTGCGAATAACCGTTGAAAAGGGTTACTTAGCAGCCTAAAATGAGTTACATCTTCCTTCATTTCCCAGGTTTTTATTGCCCATTTTCTTTTTTTATTGAACAATACTAACAATTTTAAAAATTATTTGCCCTCCAGGTATGTCATGGGTCTCATGTCATACCTTTAAACCTAATTTTATTTTAAACATTGCAAGAGTGACTTGTTCAGATGGCTTGACTGCCAATATCCATGAATATCTCAGACAACTCTTTTTTTATAGCTGCATCTGTTTATTTTATAGAAAACAAGACATCAAATTCAAGTCTCTTATTAAAGTAATGCAGTTCAAATGAAGATAACATTTCGTGTTTCTTAATTAAGATGGCACTCTTTCTGAATTTGTCAAAGCGCTACAGCTTATCTCTGGCACGTGGTAGGAAACATGTAACTGTAATTTTAGTGGAATTACAATAAATATTACATTTCCTAGTCATGTGACTGTTTCAAAAGTACAAGAACATGTAGATCTGGGTGTGATTTATTTATTCTAATTTCTTAACTAAAATTGGTATAGCTCCTGGGTATATTCATTTGTACATTACAGGTTTTATTTTTTCCCCTTTGGACAGAGTTCAATTATCAAACACAGCTAACCACTTGATGCCTTTTCATTTACTTGTACTGTCTTCCTGTGTGTTTTATTCACAACATCTCTGGGGATGATGTCCGTTCACTGAACTGAATAAGTGCGTGTCTGTCAATGTTATTGTACAGTATATACACTCTGCAATTTCCCCGGTCTCCAAATAGTCTCTCAGGGATGAAATAACCGATATGCTTATGACAATAAATCTAAAACATGTATACATGACAAAGCATTTAATTACGAGTTAAACAAGTCTCTATTCTTGCTTTAAACGGTGTGACTTGATCATCAAATCAGATGTCATTATCACAAATTACTCAAGGGTTAGGAGAAAGCTTCATGCTTATCTGCTATTAACTAAAGTGTTTAGAGTAGTTTTGACCGTGGCATTTCACAAAGAATAATGGCGATCTTTGATGGCTTGGCCAGTACATTTCAATTGTTGGTCGCACACTCATTCACTTCTGCCAAATATTTGACTGTAAACGGCTTATTTGTGTACTGTTTCACTGTGCAAACAAAATGGACAAAACTGACAAAAACATAAATCACCGTGCTCACCTGTCACTCGGGAAATGACAGCAGTGATTTAGAAACCTCATTTTTCCGAGGCCAATTGACAGGTTTCAGTGTCACAAACATATTTTACATGAGGGCAGGGACTCTCTTGTGGAAAGGAACAAAGAGCAACATCTGGACTATAGGACCACTTAGAAGTCGGTCTGTAGAAATCTCAGTCTCACGACTTCACATGGGCTATAACATTATGGAGTTGGAGACTTTTACAAAGAAAGGAGGTTCCACAAGAAAGTCTACAGTGGTAGACACCTGGCTGGAGTAATCTAAAGAGTTGATGCTCATTGCAAAGTCCTGTATCGCCATTTCCATTATCAAGGGAAGTTGCTGGCTAAGCTCTTATAATAACGAGCCTTAGCCTTTGGAATTGAAATATTTCCCGACTTCAAAGGCAACATGAACCGCAGAAAATATCTTTAACAGAGCTTTAAAAAGGGGGGGAGGCTTAAAAGAAGCCTTATTTGGCCTTCACCTTCCAGTCTAGGGATACGCAGGGACTATTTTAAGTAGGCTGGTGAGGTAGTTATTGAATCTGTTTAGTCCTTTGCGTCCCCTACACCGTCGGCATTGATGGCAAACATGGCTTCTGCCTCGGGCAAGCAGGGAGAGTCGTAAATCTTGCAGATACGGGTCTCGCCTCGCCCCTTCCGAAGGTACAGCCTGTCGAGAGGCACCAAAAGACAAACCAGAACATTCAGTTCATGAAGAAAACACATTCGGTGCATCACCGGCTTGTTACCCCACCAAAAAGAAAGTGTAACAAGTTCAACCGTTATTTTGGCATTGGCATGGTTTAGGCACTTCTCTCTTATTACAGTCCGCCTGAACTGATTAAAGGCTCTTTCCAACAGAAAACTTGCACACTGGGCAGCACGATCAAAATGTCGTGAATCGATCACAAATGCTGGCAGAGTGCAATCTTGAACCTCACCTGGTCGTGGAGGCATGGGCCATGATGTTACCCCCGATGGGTTTCTTAGGATCGGCGGCAAACATCGCTGAGCCGTCCACCTGGGCTACCACTTGGTTGGTGATGACGACTGCCACGCCGTACTACGGGGAACAGTTGGGGGGAGAAGGGATTGTGAACGCTTTTTTTTTTTTCCAATTCAATGGACACATCCTGGCAGTGGAAAGATACTTAACATGCAGAAGTAGCACACAGGAATCATCAAAATAGGAACTCCTACATGTACTTCAAAGACTGGTGGTTGTTTCATTATTTGGAAGTTTAAAAATGTACTGGATGAACAGATTTCCATAATGATGATGCCACACTTTGTTAAATGTACGCTTTCCAACAGTGCTGAGTGGTCTGTGGCCCCCAACTGCCTCCACAGAAAAGCACACATGTAAGAGTGTGATGCGACAGTACAGAGGACTATAGCATAATGAAGCACCTGTGGCAGATACTTTGTTAACCACTTCCTGCCGGGCGACCCATTTTCGAGTACATAGGCTTTATATGCCGAGCCGGGGAGCCCGGAACTGGGACAAAAGAGTTGGGCCTTATAACAAAAGACCGTGCTCAGCACAAAAGACTGAGCTACTGGGCATTACCGACATTTTTCCACTCTCAATAGTGGAGATAATCCAGCCTTGTTTTGAAGCAGTATACCGCGGTTTGAGGCATTTAGAGCGAGCGGATTACCACCGGGGACAAAAAGCGCTCCACCACCGCAGTGATGAGCCACACAGCATCGCTGCATGCTAATCTGGCCCCTATTGAAAAGAGGTCAGCAGTGCGCTGTGCCAGTTTAGGGAACAAAAGAATCTTACATAACACCGTACAATCTGGGCTCTTTTTCCAAGGCTGCAGGCCTGGCTGAAATATTCAGGAGTCAATGCAAACCCACACAGCCGCATATGAGCATGCTTCAATTGCGGTAAGGGCTAGTTAAGCGAGCTTACGTACTTCGTCGGCTATTCTCAGCAGACATCTGAGGAACTTAGCAAGGTGCATTTGTCTGCTGGCTAGTTCCCCACGTCCGCTGTAGTCGGTACGGTACAGGGCCGTGGCGCTGTCCACAATCAGAAGAGCGTATCTGTGACAAACGTTGATATTCAAATCAAAACAATGACACAAATTGCTGATTGGTAGTGATCCTTGCTTGTCCGTTTGGTCAGGTTCCAACCAATTTTTTTAAAGTCAAAATGAGAGCAATACTGGTTATCTGCCTTGAGCAGAAGCACCCCATCAGTGGTTGAAAAGAGTCATGTTGGTCAGGAGCACTCATTATGCTGGTAGCAACGCACCAGTAACACGTGCATTTCATAGTCGTTTGTGAATCAGCAAAGTGAAGTTCTAACCAAAGTAGTTTCCATTGCTAGAAAAATTGCGCCCTCTCTTGGTCCAGTTCGGGGCTCATACACATCCAACAGAGTGGCCTATGTAACAGGGGCAATCAAGATCTACGATCTGAAGCACATTCTTGATATACAGGTACATCCAAAATATTTTTATAGGGGGAGGGGTGCCTTTTTTAGGGAGAGGGGGTACAATGACTGTGCCCACATGTATGTGAATACGCTCTTGCCTGTCATTTCTTCATTTAGTTCATTTCACGGAGATGACTTCAACATTACACAAAGCATCTGTTGAAAACAGGTCAAGTCAAATCAAAGAGTATCAAATTTGCTCACCTTGACTGCGCCATCATGGCTGATGCTTGAATCAGCAACTGGCTCTGGTGATCGCTGTTGTAGGCCCGAGCATAGGCAACATTGTCTAACACATCACTGCTGGACAAGTTGTATCTGACAGAGGGGATAGAGCAGTGTGCTGGAATGAAAATTCTAGCAGCAACCGAGTCTCTTTAAAGATGTAACGTGAGGGGCATTGCCAGTTCAGGTCGTATGCATAATTCTGTTCTGGCAGTTTATCAAGTCTTTTCATGACATTGTTTTTGTTTGAAATATTTACCGACACAGCAGCTTAAGGTCCTTCTACAACAATTTTTTTTCAGATTTTATGTTTGGAAAGCACCATCTTCCTTCAATTGAACAGCTAACTTACATCTCGGACAACTTTCCTTGAATTTTGTCAGCTGTACTCTGTGAATCTTGACAGACATCGTCATCTCTCATATCAACCTGTCTTTTGGCCAGACTTTGCTTGAAATTATGGCAAGAGCTTAGAGCCTTCCCAACATTGACCTTACCTCTCTGCGACAGCGATGAGCCGCTCAGGTCTGAAGGTACCCTCAGTGTCAATGTAGAGACACTTGCCTTCCCCTCCTCCACTGTCTATCGGTAGCTGTGGGGAGCAATGTGACAGATAAAAAAGTATAGTCAGGGACCTTTTGTATTTGCCTTGCCTCCAAGAGGTCAGTTTTCAACTTCGCAGGCATCTTGTATATTACCCCTAACCCCCTTGGCCCTTTTGGCTTGAGTACATCCACAGTTCATCAGAATTGTCTAACTACCCCCCATGGAAATATTGGATACAGCCTCAATCTTCCATAATCCTCCATTTCCTACATGCGTTCCTTAGAGGGGTGACCACTGCCTCAATCCTTCAAAATCCCAGGGCTGGAAATTCTAGTCGTTAATGTTGAGGCAGTGTGGATGATTTAAAATATTATCCATGCCTGAATGGCAGAGCAGAGACAACACAAGGTCTTTCCCTCGACTTTGACACAATGCATCCATTACCATCAGCAATACTTATTTGCCATTCAATCCTCAATCTTCCAAAATCTTCCAAAACTGCCGGAGGATTTTGAAGGACAGAGGTAAATTAGGGCCCCCTCTCCAGTTGGGAGTTTAGCAAATCCATTGACCACCATTCACACACGCAATAAACACGTTGGGGACAATTTGTTGACCAAAGAAAACAACTGAACACCTTTAAACTGCTGAGAGATGTGACTACTTCTGATGGATTGAAAACATTTTACTTGTCCAGGATTTACAATTTCATCTAAGTTTCGATGCTGGTTTTGCAAGGTACACTCAGTAAGAACAAAAAAAAAAATCACAACTTCACTTGATTTGGATTTCAATCTGTTACGCTATGCTTTACTATGGTCTCATACAGCACTAACTTGATATTGCATTCTTGCAATGCAATTCACATGAGAAATTGGGTTCCTTTTGTTTGTTTTTTTACAAACAATGAATGTGCACTGTGGAACTCTCCCTTTGAAAAAGGGATTCCATCAGCGGAAATGTGATTTGTCGGCTTGAAATGGTTCTGGGTAATATTCTGACCTGGCAGGTGACTGCTAGTGTGTGGCAAAGCTGTGTTTTTCCTGTGCGGAACTCTCCAAACATTTCTGTGATGGAGCCAGTCTCAATACCACCTTTAGATATACAAAAAAAATTAATGAAATGAGTAGTTGATAATAAAGGGATGAAGATGTGCTTGGTACACCAATAAAGTCTGATCAGGTCAAAGTACAGTCTACCTGAACATAGTCTAGATTACAAGTGGTTTTTCAGTTTCAGAAAATATTGTTTCGTGACGCTATTAGCCAAAAAGCAAAAAAGCTGGAATTTTGCATTCCTGCTTATGGTCGGCACCTTGTAGAAGTTTGTCTAGTTCCTTGGAGCCAGTGGTAATCTGAATGATTTCTGCCCTCTGTTGGTGGAACTGGGTGGCAGTCGTGAAACCCATGGGGACCAGCTTCATGGCCTCGTTCTAAAAAACAAGCAAAATAAGTCCGTGCTGACGATGTTAATACAATTAATGCTAGAAAGCATGGTGAAAATGTGTTGAAGTATGGATTCTGCTTTGTCGACTAATCCTCCAAAAGTAAATGGGACCCAAAGTTTTTGGAAAATTTGGCAAAGTAGAAAAGTAGAGCAAAGCAAAGTACAGCAAAGCACACATACATGTAACAATAACATAACACTGAAGTTTAGTGAGATACCCACCGACAATGTTTATTGCTAAAAAAACCCCAGCCTTTCAGAAAAGTAAAGATAGAGGTGCCAACTTCTCAAATGCCCCAGACACTGAGCCTTGAAGGTCGTTAAAGAAAGACTAGCATTTTACCTGCAACCGTAAGTCCTCCAACATTCTGCGGGTAATGCCACTAACTGATAATGGCTACAACGGGACACGTGTAGCATTGAAGTTCAATAATCAGCCTACTTCCAGACTTCTTGAATGTTGTGTGTGTGAGTTTGAAACAAATGAGGTATTAGGCAAGTGTACACATTAACCAAGAGAGACTCTGCAGTCTGCGCCACTTTGTGGTTTCACCTGTGAGCTACAGATGCAGTGCTATATACATGCGCAGATTACCAGGTTGTGCTTACACATTCTCAGATCTGAACTGGTTAACAAGAAAGCGTCACAAGTTTTGCTATAAAAGTGGAAGATTTGGGATATTTCGGCAAGATTCTGTCATGAAGCCACGAAGCCAATGATGAAACCATCAATGGAAAAATGCAAAATAAAAAGTTATTCATGGGCTTATTCATTGCTCAAGTTGTCATCTTCTCGGCAGATTTTATATTTTAAGACATGCAGATAATTATCTTTAGAGCTGAGGATTTCGCAAAGCAGCTAAACAGCAAGTAATGAAGCCCATCAGGCCATCATTCGGCTTTGTCCAACTTGGTGGTTTGCATTTACGGCATTGCTTTTTATAATCTACACACCACACCAAGCAACCATAGCCAGCAATGCTCACTTCAGATTATGTTCTGAGCAATGCCCATGATCAAAATGTCTGCTTTTGCTGCTGGACTGAGAAGGATAGACTAAAGGGGCCAGAGAAATATGGAAGGGCTGCGTAGCACCGTGATTGACAAGAATATAATATAAAATCAGTGCTTCGGAATATGTGATTGCTGGGTTACCGAAAGCTCGGCAATCACATATTTGTCCGGTATCAGCTGCTTATCTGACTCAAACTGGCCAGCTAACCCTGGCGAGCTCGGTGGTTGAGTGGTACGATGTCAGTATTGGTATATGTATGCAGGAGGTTGTGGGTTCAAGTAACACTCATGTACACTTCAGAAAACACTGAGTGTACAGTGTTTATTTAAGTCAATGAAGTGTAAATACACCCAATAGGCTATACCAGGATTTTGTCAGCCTTGGCTTCGCTGATACCCTTGATGTTGCATAGCTCCTTCTTGGTGGCGTAGGCCACGGACTCAACAGTGTGGAGCCCCGCCTCTTCCAGCTTCTTGACATCGTTGGCACTGATACCTTGAGACTGTCAATGGTTGGAAACAAAGAAGATATGAAAAGATGCCCGTGTGAAAATTAGTTGCTCAGGTGGCAAAATTCTGCTAAGCATTTTGACCAGTGGAAAAAATTCCTGTCTCGGGCAAACTTTTTAGTTTTCACTTCACACAAAATGAAATGTGTATCAGGGTTTTGCTGTCTTAACATGAATGCAGCTTTTTGTTTATAAATTTGTTCCTTTTTATTTTTACCTCCAGACGACCTATCATCAGAGGCCCAAAATCCTCCTGGCAATCCTCTTCCTGACCGGCATTCTGCTGTTGCTGCTGCATATCTTAGACTCAGTCGTTAAATACAAATCCTCAAAATACCTACTTCAAAAAAAATAAGTACAAAGTATGTGTACAAGAAAAGAAGTTAGACAATCAGCATCAGAACTAAACCCTGAACAGTGCTAGTCCACGCCATTTCAAATCAATTTCCAGATGCACATCACTCAGACTGGAACAAAATTGGTCAAAAGAAAAACTTTTATTTTATAAATTTGACTTCTTCAAAAACAAAGTGAATTGAGTACCACAGATAAAAGAAGACACACCCGAACAGAAAAGCTGATGTTTTACAACAATAAGTGACATTTGTTATGCTAATATGAGAGACATCATCATTACAAGTCAGAAGCCATGACAACTCAAATGTGATATTATCGTGCAGTACACATCCATAGGTAGGCTATATGTACAAGTTGTCATAATTGTGCATTAAAAAACTTTCACTGTTCACTTGAAGTCAAAATAACCATGCCTGTTCATTTAGGTTGTTAATTTGGCGACAAATTTGTCTAACGTTAGAATTAATTTTTGGCGGAAAAAACACACTGGGCGGTAGGCCTAGGCCAATTTTTACAAAATGGCAGGCAAGCAGTACTGTGCACCTAAAAATTAATTTCAATGGCTCAAAGATTGCCAAATTACAACCAAACACACCAAACTTAAAAAATGTCAGGATCGACAGTTAAGTATGTTTAAGGCTGTTTGCAGTTGTGGAACTTGCACAAATTTATCGTTGGCCTACTGAGGCATGGACCATGGTTACTGCATTTGAGCCGGGAAAGACCTACCATGCCTAGGCCTATAACTTAGTATAACTACAGCTTTCTTACAGGCCTGGCATGACCGGCTAACCAACTAAGGGGAGATACAATAAATCTGTGCAAGAGTCAAGATTATGCTGAACAAGCCTAAATAACTTGAGTCTTCAGATATTCAAGATTACAGATGTCTCTTTAGGCCTAGGCGGCAGGCCTCACATACTTAGGTATAATATCTGCACGTGCAGTGTACATGTACATGCAGGCTACAACATGTATGATGATGGTGTACTAGCCTAAGTGCTACAAATTACAATTTTGCATAGGGCCTAGTCCACCCTCGTACAAAGATAAGTAAAGCCGCTTTCTACAGTCTTACCGTGGTCCCTTACCTAAGAACTTATACTGTTCCAATTTTGATAATAGATCCTAAAAACCCTACAACTTGTACAAGAAATAAAGCCTATTTCGTGAATTGTCTAAAGTTACACTTCAACTAGTAAGTAATCATGTAATATAGTCAGTAGGGGTACTGAGGAAAACAAGTTCAGACAGCCCGCGCGTTCGAGAACAGCACTAACCATTTTTATAAGGTAACGACTTGGAGGGTAAGCCGTGTCAGTTTTTATCTTGGCTTTACCCTGCTATAATAAAAGGACAACTTTTCAAATGATTCTCTTCCACATAATAAAAATCTTTATTTAATCTTTACTTAAACAATGCTTCATACTTACAAGAATGACATCAACACATCGTTGGATTCCATTTGTGAAATTGGTCATTCCCGTAGTTTAAATGGACTCGACTCAATTACGCCATCATTGCAGGTGTTTTATGGGTAATCTTCCAAAATGGCGGCTGCGGGGAAAGTGTCGGCAATAATTTTCGACTTAGACAACACGCTAATTGATACAAGAAATGCCGATTTTTTTGCTTTTAAACAGGTAAAATGTCACATTGGAACTTGGGAGATTATTTAGGCCTAGGCCTGTCATTTAAAAAATAGAGAAGATCTCTTAGTGTTGTGATCATAGGCCTAAAGTAATAATACCAAAATTGATGTCGAGATTGAGCTCAGCTGAGCTGCGGCACCTGCATGACCTGCATGACCGGTCAGCTGGAGTCAGCTGTGGTCAAAGACATGGTCAGCCGGAGCCGGTGTGAAGTTAGGCCTAGGCCTCGTTACTTCTGTACTTTGGCCTATTTTTCGTTTGGCGCCTCAGTCTAATGCGAATCTAATGAGAATAGCAGATATTGATTGTAAGCCGGTTTACTCACATTTGGCAATGTTTGGGAAGAAAACAGAAATTTCCCCTTTAGGCCTAAATACATCATGTACATGTAGGGTTTTCAGTTTCACATGGCGTACATTAAGATGCGTGCGGGGCTACGTATGCTGTGCCACCTAAATCTCACAATTTTTACTCATGAAACAGGCGACTATTTAAATTGTGTATGTAAGAATTTCACACCTATCGAATGCTTTGAGTTTCATCTTTCCAAACATGTCATTGAAACAGCCGTTGGATACTCCTTTGATTACCTAGCAATTCATGAATGAATAATAATATCCTTTGCTCCTCCCCGTTCATCCGGGAAACTTCCGAAAGCATGCAGGCAGCCCGTGCTTACTGCTTGGAAAAACGAAATGCCCAACTTTTATGGCTTATCTGTGATCACACACAATGTGATCAACAGATTGACTGATTTCATTGTAATCCTGAAGGTTTAATCTGCAATCACATGTTTATCCAACCCCTAAACTTTTCTATGAAGGAAGTTACCAGGTAAATGACAATAAGTATCAATTTTAAGGGACACATCCTCAAATATCGAAGTAAGTGGACATGGTGGAATCATTACATGAATTTTACATGTCTCTTCTAGTACATATGTGATTTTGACGTCAATGTTATGCATAGTTTTGCGCAGAGAATGAGATTTTCACAGCTATTCCTTAGCTCTTTTGACCAAGGATTTCGACCTCACATGTGTGTGCGCGAGGTCAATTCATCGAGAGCTGTCACTTACAACTTGTTCTTTTAATTGTTTTGGGGCCACATTCATGGCTTATCCTGTATGCTGTAAATGTCTTCGCAGTGTGGGCATCATCTCAACACTAAAAATGTTAAAACTCAAAATGTAAATGGCCGATGAAGTTCATTTAAAAAGCATGTTAATGTAACTTTCATTTCTTATCATTTGACACCAACAACAGCTCCGTACACCCTATAAAAAATGTTGACCTGAAAACCCTACTTTAAATCTAAATACTAATAATTTAAATTCAAATGCTAATAAGTATTTCCATATTCATGACAAAACTGTGATGATGTCTCAGGAAGAATCCTAAATGTTATATTGGTTTGTACTCAAAAAAGTCCTGCATTTTAGTAGATTTTCCTGGACAAAGTTTTCTCTTTTCTTTGCTAATTCAATGTTGTTTATGTGCATAGCAATAAGAATCCATTAATCCCCCTCTCAGAAATGTTTCAGTTAGTAAATTCTAGGTTCACAATTTGAACGGAAACACCTATGCACTAACCCATGTCTTCCTTAGATGGCTTCACAGTAACAGCGCCCTCAGTTGTCCAGGAAAACATGGATAATATTGATTGTTTAAAAATGTGCACTTTTTAGTACATTTAACCAAATAGGAGTGTGTAAGAGTTTTCATACACTAAAGAAAAGTACAATGGTGCAAAAAAATTGCGTCAAAGAAAAATTCATTGCAGCTACACTTAAAGCTTTCTAAAGGCGTATATTTTCCGATGTATGGGGCCTTGAAAAACCTTGTCTGTAATACTGATATGCTGACTGTGGATGTTGCCATTTTGAAAGTAATGCCTACCAACCAAGGCAATGAAAATGAAATTTGAATGTCATTAATATGCATGCTCAACACACGTGCCGAGGGCACTAGCAAAGTAGGCACGCAACTCATTACTAGTCAATACAGTAACAATATGAATTATGCATTTACAGCACCTGTCGGGTGCCTGGACATGCCTGTTACTGTTTTTTCCCTTTCGGCATCCATGTACTTAAAGAGGAAAAACATTGCTTGCTTTAAATGCCCCGACATCAATCTATATTTTTACACTGGTTGGACCATGTGCACTGTTGAACTTCAGGTGTATAATAATGAAAACGCCGAGGTCGGCAGTATCAGCCTCTGTAAAATTTTTAATAACGGTGTGGGAAGCTTTTTGTAAACATTATTTAAAGTAAACGTGAATTCCCACCCTTAGTGTCAACTTGCATTAATTTCTGAGTTTTGTGATAGAATAACTCCAGTGAAAGTGGCCGTCACATTTTTCACAGTTAGTAACGACAGAGTGTTGCTTACAGGTTAAAGCAGTCCTGCGTTCCCAGTTTGCCGAAGTTGACGCCGATGATGTGGTTGCTGCTTTCCGCAAGTACCTGGCAGAGGCTGAGAAGGACCCCAACGAGGTGATCCCAGTGGACGAGTGGCGCACTGAGCTTTGGCAGCGAGCCCTGAATAGCCACCACCCAAAGGACGCCGCCGTGCTCCTCTATCGCACCTGGATGAGTGGCCGGCTGGACCACATGACCTTCAGCGAGGAGGTCAAGGGGCTCCTGCGCCGGCTGCGCCAGCGCTACAAGCTCCTTCTGATGACCAATGGGCCCTCGGCCATCCAGCGGCTCAAGATGGCCCGCTGTGGTGCCGACGAGTACTTCAACGGCATCATCGTCAGCGGAGAGCAACCCCACCCCAAACCAGACGTCTCCATCTTCCGCACAGCCTTCGAGATGCTGGATGTACCGGCTGAGCATTGCATCATGGTGGGCGATTGTCTGAGCACCGACATCCAAGGAGGGTTGGATGCCGGCTGCCTGGCCACCGTCTGGATCGACCCCAAAGAGCAGAATAAGGAGATTTTCTTCCCCAGCCCCAACTACAGTATTGCCTCCGTCATGGAAATCGACAAGGTTCTAGATGACATCAACACTTCTGTTGCTGCAGGTACATCTCAGTAAAAAGTTTAACTATGCATACAGAGTACACGTACGTATGGGACAGGGTTGTACCACAATTTTGGCTTCACTGTTTACAAGTATTTAAAAAAAGGAAATAACCTTTAGGGGGAGCTAAATTGGCGAGTCATGATTCATGCATGGTTAACAAATCTAAACAGAAAAAGTACAAGAATTTGAAGTAGTAAAATACCAACTATGAAATCATGTTATTGAAATGTTCATCACCAGCTTACATGTATGAAGCACCTTGCATGTGATTTGAGATGCACATTCAGTTTACCAGTTGACCAAAAATTTGGAGGCTTTGGTTCATTGTTAAAACCAAACTTGATTATTGTATTTTAAACAAAAGGAATTAGTGCAAATTGTTAAAGCTTCAGACCCACCTGTAGGATGTAATTAGAAGTGATGTATTTCAATGAGAATCGTGCAGTCTGGCTTTGGATATAGTGGATTTTCAAGAGTTTAGCTTGTTTTTCTTTCTTTTTTCCCTTCCAAAGTTGTTTCCTGCCAAAACTTGAGAAAAAGGTTCCATTTCATAAGCCAGGCTTACTTTGACAGATATTTACATATTAAAGAAAGTGTGTGAGTTTGTGCAATGTGCTTGCAGTGCAAATAAACAAATTGTGTAAAATCATTTGTACTGCCACAGAGAATTAAAGAAGACAACAAGGGTGATGACTGAAATTCTAAAATACTTAATAAGTAACAATATTTTTGTACAGATGTCTTATGAAATCAGAAGTATTTGTGTAATGGTACCGTGGGTGTAGGCAGGGCATGCTGCACAGCATGCTAAAGCCATACTGAAATTGAAGATCTTTCTTCTGCCGCCCTGCCTGTAGCTTATTGAAATGCTCATCATGGTGGGTTTGCATACAGTGAATTACCTCTTTCATTTTTCTAGCGCTGTTTTGTTCTGTTTTGGGTTTTTTTGGCGAGTTTGATGAACAACTGAGGACACTTCTATATTTAAGAGGTAGCATAAGAGGAAATGATTAATGAACTTGACTATGGTGTTATCCCTGGCTCTTCTAAATTGAATACTCTACAATTCACCTGTTGCACGTACATATATGTACACATAACCTATGCAACATAGGTTTCACTGACCCACATGGGTTTTGCAACAATTTACCTTTTATCATTGGCCCACTTGAAGCAACACAGTGTTGTAATGAGCAGTAGTCAGTCAGTATCATCATTGCATTAAATTATCAGTCGACAAGATGTCACTGTCGAAGAAACTAGGTTCCACTTTTCACTATGGCCCATAACTTTCTAATGGAAAGATTAAAATGGTTGGCGACTCGAGAGACCCTGTTCTTCAGAATGGTTTTTCGCCGTGCGGAAAGCCAAAGACAGGCGTTGTATGTCAGTCAGTGGCGATGCAGGGGTCAGTCCATCTTTTCTTGCCATGTTAGTCTTAACTCAAGCCGCAAAGTGCCTGTTTACCTTATTACCTGTATCCTTCAGATGTACCAGAGTATTTGTATAATTTTGATCCAGGCTGCAAATAATCTCTCAGAGGGGGATCCCCGGTCAGATTGGAAGTCATGGTCATCACTGACTGAGCTTTTGTACATTGAGTGGAAGTGTCACCAATGTGAGATGCTCTCACTCACACAGAAAGTAAGGGCTTGGGGGTTTTGTTTTCTTTAATACCTGTATTGTTATGCCGTAATTCACTTGAGATATCCATTTTGTGTGTTTTTGTTTGGGTAGTCCGAGATTTTTTGTCAGTTTATAGTGACACTATGCAATAACCAAAATGCATTCCATCTATACAGTACTTGGCACAACGAATATCTACATAAATCAGTGTCAGTTGGGGGGGGGTCTGTATTTAAAGTGATGGCATGAAATGGTCTAGACAAAAAGTTTCTCGCCCCCCTTTGTGCTTGCCAACAATATCAACTCCTGCCTTGATACTTCATGTATCTGGACTGCTCTGACATTTAGAGGAAAGATATCTGTGACCTGTGTCGATGGACACAAATTTTAAATAATCCCCAACTTAAGAAACAGATTTTTAAAAATCTGAACAGGGACTTTAAGTCTCTGTGATACTTTGTCTGTCGGTCACAGGGAAACGGAAGCGATAATATACATGTACCTAATTGGAACTGAAAAAGGGTTTTATGGCCATTATAACTTAGATTAAAGATGTCGGACACGTGACTATTTCCTTCGATAGGAGAAAGTGTTTTTACTTTTCTGTGTGTGTTACAGTGACCACTGTATCACATCCAATCATGTACCGTATATTGAAAGAATGTCGAATCCCATGTACAATTTGTACATGTAGCATAAGCTTGCTGTAGTGCAATATTTTTCAGTATTTTGAATTTGACATGGTGCACGGTGCATGTATGGTCGTACAGACACCTGTACATGTATGCTCATTCACATGCACCTTAATTAATCTAATCTCTCTGTAAAAGGATTTTGCTACATTCAGGCTTTCTGATTTGGTGTTACATTTACGTTCCTGTCTGCCTCAACACTTCACACAGAACCTCACACAATCCACGCCCCTTCAGGCAGTATTTAGATGGATGTACATGTAAGACAGTACTGCCTAGCTGCTGCAGGCCATGCCTAAATTAACCAGCTGTGGCTAGGAGTAGCACCCATGTCTATGGGAAGTGGCTACAGCAACCAGCCATTGATCTCCATACAGCCACACACGGTTTCCAGCCACAGCCACAAATTTGGGATGAGCCCTTTGTACATGTATGTTCATGTAAATGTATGTAAGAGGCTTGATGTTCCAGAGAATGTCCCTGTGGAGAGGGCAAAAATGGCCAGTGATGTACATGTAATGTGTAGGGAGGGTCCAATTACAGGATTTAGGGAGCAGGAGTGCCAGTTAATAGGCAAAAGGCTAAGCCAGGTTTAGGGTTTTCCCCTGTTAAAACATCAGGCTGATTTCAGGCCTACCGAGGTATATTTAGGCTTCATGGTATACATGTACATGTACTTAGGCTTCTCTGGCCTAATTTTCAGGCTGTGCACAACAATCATACGTGTAGCTGTGTCTGGCATCTGAACTGAAGCAATGTATCTATTGGTATTCATGTGTGTGTACAAGTAAGTTGCAGGTACATGAGACAAGTACACAGATTCTCATGTAAAACTTAGTGAATTCATACTTTTTATCACAATGTTACAAGTTAAGGTGCATTTATTTAGCACTCAGTGTTGTGGAACACATTCAGAACTGTGGATTTGGATTTTCAAAGTTCTGCTTACTGTAGATAAGAAAATCCCAACTCAATCAGCTGTGATTTGTCAGTGTTTCCCTGCACCATTTCTTCATTCACGCAGTGTGAGATTGACGAGTTACACTATTGGTGGATGTCATTGTCAATGTTTCTGAAGCATGTTTTGGGAGCCACCTGTGCAGGATACATGTACATTGTCTGTCTGGCCTGTGAGTGGTTCTGAGAAAAAAAAAAAAAGTAGTTACATTTGCCAGCATATTGCAGTTCTTCATGCTTTAAAGAGTGCAGTTTCATCTCGTTCTAAGAGAATGAATAAATAATTAGTTATGGTTGTTTTTTGTTAGTTGGAGGGTTTAACAGGGTTACTGGTAATTTGTGAGTTTTTTGCGAATTCAGTTCAGTGCCTTTCCTACCACACTGTCAAGGCAAAAAAGTCATGTTTCGCTTCCATTCCAAGTTTGGGGTTTTTTGCCATGCTGTATTATGCATTGTTGTTGACAAATACATGTATGTCCGAGTACGAGTAGGTGGAAAATTTATCTTTCCAGTACATTTTGATGAGTATGAGTGCATGTTGTACACATACCCAAAACGAGTACTACAGCACATCTATATGAGTACATGGTACATGTACATTTACACAGTACATTCAAAATACTCCAAATGATTTTATGTCACAATGTGTACATTTCCCTGAGTACGGCCAATTCACAATAGTGCGCCACCAAGAGTTTGCAATGCGTTGGCCAATCATAACCCCCGAAATTTGTGGACCCTTTCTAAACGCGCATTGGGTCGACAAATTTCGCGCGTTATGATTGGCCAACGCATTGTAAACTCTAGGTGGCGTACTATTGTGAAACCGCAGTATTGGACAAGTCCCGCATGTAATTCCCACACAATAATAAATCTAAACGACTAAAGAATCTGTTATTTCTGACCATTTTACAGTTAACATAAGAGCTTATCCAAATGATTCATAGATAAACCATTGCTATTAACTTCAGCTAGTTTGCAAACACGTACTTGTAGACCCTTGATTTGAAATGATTTCTTCTTGAATTTGTGTACCTGAACCCTCAGTAAAAGTGGAATGTGATTGAACATTACATTCAACTATACCAATGTGAATCCGGACACTTTCTTTGATCACATTTTAATAACAGGAGGGACTGGCCCACATGTATACGTACATACATGTACATGTTTGTAACAGGGTCAGAGTTCTAGTGATTTTACTTTTGTACAACTGCACAGCTCTACCTCCAACACACAGCCACATTTTCAGGCCTACAGAGTCTGCATACAAGTACAAGACACGTGAATTCTTTTGGAAATTTTGCAACAAAGTTAATTAATCACACATTGTTTCTTTTATATGATGTGTAATTTCTCTTTTTTTCTCCAGTATTCAGAGGTTGATGCACTTGTTGGAATACAGTCATGAATGCATTTTTTGCATTTAAAAAAATGGCAATGGTGCTGTTTCCATAGGTTCTCTTAAGTTCAACAAATACATGTAGGTCTAAACACATAGTGAGGCAACAGTTAATTCCGCATTGGAAATTTGGAATGAGGTGCATCAGATTAAGTTATGATTGAAGGAGAAATGGAATTTGCTGCCAAACTAATCGGTTTTGTAGTCTTGTTTATGTTACATCTAATCATTCATAATTAGAAGTTGAGACAAAATGAAGAACAAATGTGTGTGCGGTAACTTGGCAAGTGCTGGAAAAAGGTAACTTCTGAAGGGAAGAATGGTGCAAACTGTAGACAAAGTTTGCATGTAAAATTTGCACAACTTTTTTAAGACGCCGACAGCTTCAATACAGTTCTGCGTTGACAAGTATGACGTTTGCCATTAACAAATTCGCTTTGCTCAACATTTGAATGAAGTATAAACTACAGGTAGGCTAAAGTTGCAGTTTTTGTTTTGTTTTGGGGCTTTTTTTGGTTCATCTTTTTCTGTCTGTACCCTGTTTTTAGTTTGCTTGTGTACTTGTATGTTTGATAGATACAACAAAAGCTTCAGCGTATGTATGTAGATGTGAAAATTAACTTAGCTCAAGTGTAATATTTGAATTAATGTGTTACATATATAAGTGCAGTCAGTTCCGTTTATAAAAGTTAATCATGAATTTCTGCTGTATTTTGCTAGCAAATTGAAGTATCTATGCATGAGGCAATAGTAAACTTTCCTGCCATTTCCAGGCTGCTAATTTGCACTTATTTTCACAAAGCAGTGCAGGTTTGTAAAGTACAGTATCTTTTTTCCCCCCCGCAACGGTGGCTGTATTTTTGGTGTAGCGAGTGACATGAATGTGTACTTTAATACTAGTGTACTCAAGAGAATCTCATTCTAGTTAGGAGTGAAGGAAATTTATCACATCTATTTATCAAGACTTTTCATGTCTTTATATAGTTTTTAGTGGCGTGTCTTGTGTTAAACCTAGCAAATGA